AAGGTAATAAATTTTACTTACTTGTTGATCTAAATGAGGCACATGAACATTTTGGGCTCAATCATAACTATAATGAGTAGTAGCATCAATACTGCAATATTGTGTTTTACCCTTTGAATAATTTTGATTAACTAATTTCCTTTGTTCTTTTGCTAATTTTGTATTTTTATTATAATAATTTCTTTTTACTTTGGCTTTGGACAAATGTTCTTCAAATCTTTTGAGTAAATCTTTGGCTTCTTCCTCTTGGCGAACATTATAATGTAAACTATTTCGAAAATGTTGACATGTATCACATAAGTCAGTCCTTGGACTCATAATTTGAATTTCTGGTGTCAATTGATGTCATAATTTCCTGAAAGCATCATATTTTAAGGATTTCAATTTGTTATCTTCTTCTAGATCAACTAAAAAATCTCTATGTACTGATTTATAACTCATTTCAGCTGGTAAAAATATAATTGATTGAGTTATTCTATTGATACTTCTTCCTGGACTTGGTAATCCATGAACTTCTGCATAATTTTTCAGAAAGTTTTTTACAACAGTGGCAATGTCTTTGTCAATCACCATTTTAGTTTTTCATTGAGGTAATCTTTTAATATTACCATGAACTCTTGCTAAAAGTCCATTGTTTACCAGATGATTTCTGATATTTTCAAAATAAGTTCTACCAATCCCTAACATATTAAAATAAGTTTCTTGACAAAGAAGTGTATTGTGATCCCAATGATAGAAAGTTTTTTTGTTAGATCTGGTTTTCTTTTTGAGGCGTCTGCTAGTGCTTATTAATCCACCATCCATTGCCTTAAGTTAGGCCATTAAAAATATGTCTTGTTCTGGTTTAGAAAGAGCTTGAAAGAATTCCCTTAATTCTGCAAATTGTTCCTTGGAAATTCTTGAAGAACAACCACAATCACAACCTTTTTCTAAAAAATCAATTGCTTTTTGATATTCATTAGAACCATTATATTTATTACTTTTCATATATATACACTTATCCTCATATATATAATTTTATGTTCACTTTATAGGGTTTTTCTACTACAGTAAATAGATTCAGCAATATATATTGAACACAATAGTTATAATATTTTAAAGTAAATTCTTATTGTTTATACATTTTATTAAAGTAAGTTTTAGTAAAGTACAACAAATATAAATCAAAAATTTGGAAATTCTATAGTAAAGCTAATAATTGTTAAAATAATGATTGATTAAATGATTATCATGATCAAGAAAAATTTTACCAAGTTGTTGTGCATCACTATGCCAATTAATTTCCTTATTCAAAAATTGTGGATATTCTGCTTCCCCATTATCTCCAGCCCAGTCAAAATCTATGAACTTTACAATCCAACTTCCATTTGAATCTAATTTTGTCATTATATTGTTGAAACGTAGATCACCATGAACAAAATTGTTATCATGCATTATGTTTACTGCATCTAAAATCTTTGCTTTCAATTCTGACTTTTCTTTCTCATTTAATCTGTACCATATATCAGTCATAATATTGAATCCATCAAGATATTCCATAATAATAAATTTGTAATCAGTGTTTTCAATGTTGTCAAATTTTATCAGTTCTGGTGCAAACCCTTGGTTAAAGCAGAAATTATGTACCTTTGCATTGTATGAAGTAGCAAATTTTAAAATATGCTTTCTCCCTCCTAGTTCCCTTATCAAAAAAATAAGTTTCTTAATTTCACTGTCAATACGATTTACATATTCAATATTTATAATTTCTCCAGAAGTTGATTTATAATTTCTTAAAAAAGGAAAACGTTCTTGTCTTGTTACTTCCTTACTCACTTGGAATTTTGGGATTTGACTATAGTATTTATCAAGATGGTTATTGGCTTTTCGTAATGCACAGAAAACCCTTATTATCTGATCTATCCAGAACTTGTTTCCATGTCTGAAAATTAGTGATCCTTCTACAAGTGGGTCAATGGTGATATTTTGTCCTACAACTGCACCTGCAATTCCAAAATAAGGACCATAAATGTAAACAAGAAAAGTTGGTACACAAGTTTGCTGAAGAATATATGATTTTTCCTCATATAACTCTTCAAAATATCCTGAATAATATTTGCTTGCTTGCATGTAAGGATCAGTTGATGAAAACTCATTCTTGAATTCAAAGATAGTTAATAGAATAGTTTTTCCATTGTATTCCTTCCGCCATACTCCATCAATTGACTGTTTATTACTAAAATTATAAGATGTTGTATCATAATCAATAAACTTTCTAGCCCACCCTTGGAATGCTTCTATTCTTTCATTGTGTGACATAAAAGTACCACTCATTGTTAATAGTAGTTCACAAACTATATTTTTGTCCTTATTTGTTATACTAAGATCTTTGCAATCTCTTAAAAACTTCCCAAAAACTTCATTATATAAGGTAATAGGTATGTCATAATTATTCGGTGGACGACCATTTAAAAATGGTGGATTAGGACAATTCAACTCTTGAACCCAATTTTTTGATAAGGCAAATTCTGATGCAGAGTATTTTATTTTTTTAACACGATTTAATGCTTTTGTATCAACATCTTTTTGCAAATAGTAAACAGAAACATAATTAGTTTAGCAAAATATTTTGATACATTAAATTTAAGAAAAACAAGCAGCTCACCTTCACTTTCTAATTCCAATTCGGACTTACGTTTCACAACTAAAAGAAAAAAAGTAAATAAATAAACGAAATGGAATGAATGGAAAATAATTTTTTTGTATATTTTTTTTACGCAATTTGTTCATTACCTTCTCCTTTTTTAATTTCAACTAACAATGCATCCTGAAACTTCCGTACTTGTTCATCCCAATCGTTCACGTTCTTCGTTAATTCTTCTTCTTTTTTCTCCAATCTCTCCTTCTCCTTCTCCTCCCTTTCACTAATGTCGTTTCTTCTCACCTTTCTCCTCAATCCCCTCAACCACTGCCCGTCATCTTCCCCATCTTCGAATTCCTTCAACTTATCCTTGGCTTCTTCGTGGTTTCTTTTTGCATCTTTTAATTCGTCTCTAATTCCTTCGATAAGAGTTGCCATTATTAAAAAAAAAGATTTGTAGAATTAATTTTAAAAAATTTTTTTTTATTGATTTAGATCGTAATTGTTACAATTAATTGTTTCTTGTGTATAATTTCGACCAATGATAAATTAATGGGCACATGACTTGGAATTTATTTTTACAGACAATGATTAAACGACAAAAAAGATATTTTAATTCAACTAATGATAGAAAAAAATAAGTTAAAAATCGTCAGAGTACTTGCATGGGAGGAAAATACTCGGACCCAAAGCCATTTGTGAGTATTACCTATTTATTATTTGAGCACTCTGACAAAAATCCGACTTTCACTATTACTACAGCTGTTATTATCAATAATTTTATTATTATTAATATTTATATCTTCATTGTTTTTATTATCTTCGTCATTTCACTCGCCACTTCTTCTCTTCTTTTCCTTTCAACCCACTGTTGAATTGCTTCTATTTTTTTCCTTCTAGTATTTGTTTTTCGTTGGTAGAAGTTTTTTATTGTGGAAGCAGCAACACCCTTTCCCTCCAAGTAATTCACGAATTTCAATAGCCATTTTGCTGAATGAAAAGTTTGAATTTAGTTAGTCTTTTTGTCAAATAATTGTTTAATGTCCTTCCATAGATTTTCTATTTCTTGTGAATATTTTTTATCACTAGTAAGTTTGTTTATTTTATTTTTGAGTTGGTTCTATTTATTTGATCAATTTTTTGATTTATAATATAGAATTGATTTTTGCAAGTTTATTGTAAAATAAGAAACCAAAGAAAACTCCAATTAACAACCCACAAAAAAATTCACTATTGAAAGTAAGCATTTTTTAAATGTTATTGTGAATGAAAATATTGTAAATATTTATTGATTTTTTTAAATTGTTTAACGGTAATTATTTGAAGGAGTTGTTATTTGAATTTTTTACCTAAATCAGCAATGTTTTTATAATGTTCCAACATAAGGCAGGATTATTTCAATGTTAATGAGAGAAAAACAAAGATTTATTCTCAAATGTAAAATTTGTTCAAACAACAATGTTTTTTTACTGATAAGCAATGCAATATGATGATTGTTAATTACATTTATATAAAGGAGAATTTTCTTTGTCAGTAAAAAAAATAAATCAACATTGTAATAATAAGATTTATTTCTCTTTTAAGTATTTTTGCTTTTTATTAGATAATAATGCATCATCATGATGCTTTCTTTTTCCAATGTTTATTATTTTTCTTTCCTCTTGGTAAATTTCATAAGTAATCCTTTCTCTCTTTAGATAAGCTTCAAGTGTCTGAGTATTATTTATTTTGAAAATATAAGAAGCAATTTTCTCACCTTGTTCTTTCTTTAGAATACTTCTAATGGTATTGTAATTCTTGGGTTTTATAGTAGATCTGATGTAAATGAGTTTCATATTAACTATTTTTATATAGAGATAATTCTATATATCACCTAATATTAAGAGGGTAACAAATGGTGATTTTAATAATCACATTATTAAATTTTGATCCCTGAAATTCTTAATAATACCAATATTTACTTTGTCTGGTTTTGTTACAGTATGCCCCATATAATTTTTGTTCAGGTTTATGCTAACAGTTTTGAGTTTTAGTTAAGTTCGCTAAGAGTTGAGCTACTTATTATTAAAGAAGTTTGACTTGACTAGTTATTATTTATTGTTGTTGAATAGGTTGAGCTATAGAAAATTCAGTTTCTATTTTCTTAGCCTTTTGGATAGCAGCGTTCAAATTATTAGGGTTATGTCCTACAACCATAGTCATGAGTTATGATTGCAATCCTCACATAAATTTTCTAACTCTATAGTCTTGTCCAAAATTTCCTATAGGATTAACTCTACTTATTAAAGTTTTGAATTTTAAAGCATATTCACTAACTGTTTGACCAGGTAATTGTTGTAGTATTTCCAATTCTGACATTCACTTATTTTTCATTATAGCATTAGCAAACTGTTGAGTGAATTGAGATACAAAACTGGTGGCACTTCTCAAGTTATTCCAGTTATTAATATTTGTATAGTCTTCTTCATATCATTTGGCTGCGGTATCTTTTAAATAACCTGCGGCTATTTGATATTTTCAGTTATTTTACTATTGATTTGCAGTAGCAGCTCGTTCAAAGACTGTAATCTATTCAAATGGATCTTCATCATTATGACTATGAAAGTTACTGGGTTTGATGATATTTAACTCTCTATTTGCTACTGCAATATTAACAGAGTTTACTAAAGTTAATCCTTAAAAAGTATTTGTCATTTGTTGCAATAAAGCGACCAATTGATTTGATGAAATATTTACTGTATTATTGCCTGAATTATTATTTGAATTGAAAGTAGATTGTTGTTGTTGCTGTTGTTGTTGATTTCTACTAGTATATCCAAATTCAGAATAATGACCATAATTCAGAAGTTGCAACGTATTAAAAACAGAAGAGGTAATAAAAGTAACAGTAAGATTTGAAGGATTATTAGGCTTTGAGGAGTTTGAACTCATAATATTTTAGTTTAGCTTCATGACGTTTTGTGAATAGACTGATTATTTTCTTTATTAATAGCAGTTATAGCAATAGGAGTGCTTGAGAGTGGAAGATTTGTAAAAATATTATCAACTATACCAATAGGAGTTGAGTTGAATGCTTGACTACTTAGAGGTAGTAATTTATATCTGTCTTGACCAATATCTGAAGGGATAGATTTAAAACTTTGATAAGAATCTTCTTCACTTTGAGGACTATAAATTTGAGTTACGTTAGATGATTCTGAGTCAGCAAAGGCAGAGTATTGGTAAAAAGGTTCAGAGTTAAATTGATAAGATAAGGGTAGGGTATTTCTAACGTTTGTAGTATTAGTAAATTCAGTTGCTTCTTACAGTTCTGATGTAGTTGTGTTGCTCCTAAACTATAAATTACTAGTAGTTCTATTGGAGGATTGTGAGGCTACTTCGTCTGTTTTACTTTCTGATTCTTGAATCGATTCACTAATATTCGAAGATACTATTTCTTGGGTAATAATTCTGTCTGCAGAAGAAGAGTTATCAGACAAAGATGATTGAGGTCTAGGTTGGGTTTCTTTTGAATCTCCTTCTGAACTTCTTAATCTAAAGGTATTACCAATAGCACAAAAAGCTCTGGTTAACATACTAGTAGTATCAGTGAATTGAGATCTAGAGGTTCTTTTTTGAGATTGATATTGAGCAGTTGGGTTGTATGTTCTTTCTGAACGAAGGATGCGACTAGATTGGCTTTCAGAGGTGTTAGACTTCACGTTGATTGATTGAAAATGGTTTTCTAAAAAGATATCTTGTTATTTGATAAAACTTTAAGAATGGTGAACTTCCAGTTTCAATGTGATTTGTTTGGGCTAATATAAGAATTAGATTAAGGACAATTTGATAGATATTATCTTTTGAGAGATCAGCAGAAGATTGATATCGACAAGATTCAACTAAAGCAAAGGTTTGAGTAATAATAGTTATAGAGATTTCCCAATTATCAGGTTGTTCGATAAATTCAGGAATAGAAGTTCTAAGTTTGTAAATAGAGCAATTATTTCCTTAGAATATTAGGTTGCTTTGAATTGTAGACGATACTAAAACTAAAAGTCGTCAAAGTTTTTTGGATGTTCAAATTCTTCTTCAATAGGATAGCAAATTAAACAAGATATATCAGGTACAAGTGCTAAGTTTAAGAGTTCTCCAATAGCAATCAAATGATGTAAACTATTGTGTACTTAATTTCTATCTGCAAAATTTATATACTTTCTTATATTTGAATCCTGGCAGGAATTACTACTTTTGTCACTGTGGAATTCTTTAACTTGAGGTGGTCATGTTATCAAGTCTCTACTTAAAATTTCTAACTGCGGTTTACTGCAGTCAAAACGTTAGAATCCGTCTAACTCTTAACTCTATCAAATTTACGCATTGGACTTAAATAAATCTATCAAGTATGAAAACTTGAAAGATGAGATTATGAACAGTTTTATTAAAAAATTCAGATGACAAACTCAATTACAAATAATGTATAGAGATCACGTCAGACTATATAAAGATACAAAGAGGCAGAAAGATATAAGTTTTAATTGATTCCTTTATTAATATTGAAACTCGTATTTACAAAAGAGTTAATTTACAATATAAGTAAAAAGTCTATCTATTTATACAAAATTTCTTTTGTCATGGCTAACTATTTACTATACTATAAACTAACTAATTTAGCAAAATAAAATATATGTAAAATAAATACATTGAGAATAATAAAAATACAAAAATAATAAAAATATAAGATAAAATAAAAATAACAATAAAATTTAGAATATTAAAAATACGTATAACGTTAAATATTTTTAGACTTCATTTAATTTGTAAATTAGGATTATCATCAGTATTTGAAAGATTTTTAGAATTACATAAATCTTCCGTATTTTCAGAATTTGTAGAATTCTCAGTATTTTCAGAATTCTGAATTAAGAGATCGTTATACTGCGTCATCTACGTGACTTCACTATAACTGGCTAATTACTCTATTGATAATAGTGACTTTATGGACTTATATCATATGATCCTAAACATTGTTAGCTTATTATGTTAATTTTGAATAATTTTCTGTTATGCATTTTTGACTAAAAGAACATAAACGAATATAAATTAGAGATTTTTATTTTTTGTTTTATTTTTTTTTTTTCTACTAATAAATAATACCTCTTTTTTTCCTTTCTTAGCTAAACAAAATTAATCTAACGAAATAAAAAATCAATTTATCAAAGTTAGAAAAATCAAAAAATCAATCAATTTATATATTCATAAATTAAACTATATTTAGACTACAATTTGATTGCTTTATTTAGACGTCTATTAAAGTTTCGTATTAATTACAAATTGATGTCAATTAAACTTTATACCAAATATACTATTTTGTATACATATATATTCAATTTTTATATAACAGTAAATATAAATTTATTATCGTCACATAAAAATAAAATTAAAAAAAGAAATTACTAACTACAATGTCAAAAACATATTGAAAAATGAAAAAATCTTTTGTAAAAAAATCTAATAATCTATCAGTTGATACCAATAAAAGTAAATTGAAGAAAGTATATTATTATTGTGATAAATACAAAAGTTGTTTGGTTGATTTACGTACAGAAAAAAAATATAATTTAAGAAAGAATATTAGATCAAGAGAAATTATCAAAAATATAGTTCTAAATCGAGGTTTTCCTAATGATTCAAGTCAAGATATATTGGTAAATCCTTTGAATGATCCAATAGAATTTAACACATCAAGTAACAATAGTGATTAAACAATTAAACCTATTCAACCTGTTGAAAACTATTCATTTCTTCCCAAGAAATTACCAAAAGGTGAGTTAAAAGGAAAACAAAAAGGTATTAGTAGTGGTGGTGGTAGTGGTATTAGAAAGAATCCTATCATTATTATTTAACAGAGTATTTCTGATAATGGTGATGATGATGATAATGATGATCAGGATAACAGTGATCTCGATTCTATTGAAGAAAGTCTGAATGAATATTCTTTATCCAGTGGTTTTAGTGCATCAGAAATGAAAGATGTATATGATAATCCTGAAAAACCTATTGTTAATTTTAATAAAAGTTCTAACTGGATTGTCTTATAGATTTTGTTATATCAAGAGAGGTATAAGCTATCTGATGTTACTACCGATTCTTTGATTAAATTTTTTAGATATTTTTTGATTTTTCTAGACGCAAACATATATAATTCTTTTCTTATATCACTATACATGATACAAAAAATACTTGGCGTATGTGCTTATATCATAAAATATGCAGCATGTGAAAAATACTATAAATTATATAATATAGCAAAGATATCAACTGCTAAGCCTATCCAATTTCCAGTTAAAAGCCATTGTACTTATATCAATTTACTAAACCATCTGATGGCAAATCAAAGAAAAGAATGTATGGCAAAACTTATCAAAACAGTTCACACTGTAGATGGAGTATTATATCAGCCTTCTTTAATATATCCAACTGTTAGTTTAAAACATTAATTACAATTGATGTACAATTGAAAAGGATTTGAAAAATCATACAGGAAATGGGCAGATTGGTATAGTGATTCTCGATATTTGAATGATATTTACGATAGAAGAGTTTGGAAAACATTTTGAAACAAAATCAAAATTTACCATTTTTTCAGAAGGAAGTGGCTGATAGACACTTAGGAATTATGCTAAATATTGATTAGTTTTAGCTATTCGATAATATTAATTATAGTGTAGGAGTTGTATATAGTATAATATGCAATCTTCTACGAAGTGAAAGGTTCAAGTCATCGAATGTATTGATAATGGCTTTGATCTCTGATCCAAATGAGCCAAGTCTACATCATATAAATCATTATTTGGGTCTGATAGTCAATCAATTAATTGAATTATAGGATGAAATTGAACCATTAGCAACATATAAAAGTACTAATAAGCCTATTTGAGCTGCGGTAATATACTGTTCTTGTAATATCCTAGCCATAAGAAAGCTTTGCAGTTATATATCTGCACACGTGACCTATTATAGATATTTAAAAAAAGCACAATTTGATGATCGTAATCAACTAAATTTTGGTGAATTTGATGATATTGATGAATGGTTTGTTGAAAGGAACATCAATCAAGTTTAAAAAAATGCACAAGAATGGTTAGACTGTAATACTAAAATGCTAGAATTATTCACGTATATAATACTTCAGTGCGCTGGTCTGAAATGTACTGTCTCACATATTTTGATTCAGTCCAATTTCTCATTATTGATCTTATATACTGTTTGTTTCTAGGTATTGCAAAATGGATTGTAATATGACTATAGATCAAAGAAGGTTGATTGAAATAAAATGATCTTAAAATAATGCAAAATAGGGCTAAGCTAATAAAAGTTCTAACAGATATTGGCAGAATTCCATATAAAATTGATCAGAAGAAGGATTCTCAGGTTTTATTACAGATCAGTGAAAAACCTTCATCCTTATATACGCAACTATGATTACTTGAGATCTGCTTCAAGAATTAGATAGAGCGATTCTTACCAATTTTATTAGCGTATGCAATATTCTTGTATGCAGAACTGTATCTAAAGATGAATTAGAAGATGCTTACGAATGACTTTTAATAATGGTAAAGCTTATCGAGAAGAATTACGGTCTAGAAAAAATTTCACTGAATTTATATTTATGTCTACACATTTGTCATTATACTTTAGACTATGGTCTATTATATGCATTTTGATGCTTTAGTTATAAAAGAATGAATGACTTATTGGGTAATTATAATACTTCTATAAAATTTACCGATTTTTACTTCATATTTATTAAATTATTTCATATTTATAGACTTATACTATACTAGTAATAGAAAAATTGAGCCAGAACTATTGAAAACCATTCAGTATAATTTCCTTCTTGATCAGTTTTTTTCATATACTCAGGACTATCAATATTTATCGGCTTGTTTACCTTTAATAATGCCAAAAGAAACTACTGGTAGTCTTGCAGTTCAAGATGAACTCAATAGAATAGACTATTGTGAATTTTTATCAATATCTAAAAATGTTAAAGAAATAGCTGGAACAGATTCAGAATCTTTTTCAGGTGTTTTTCTTAATCCTAAAAGAATAAATACAGATCTATCAAAAGAAATATTAGATTTGTTGATTGAATATTATTGTGATACCTATAATAAAGATTTTGTAGCATTGTCAAACATTCATGTTACCAACTCAGAAGCTATACCAGTACTTTCAAAGGTGAATATTTACAGGCAATTACGACTTGGCTCTAAAGTTTTTAGATCATCGTACTCTAAAAGACACATCTGATCGTCTAAAATTCTATCTCAATTTACACATGTAAATACTAAAGAAACTTATCCTAGAATTGTTCAATATTATTTTGAACATACTGTGCATTTTCCAGAAGTATCTAAGAAACATTCTTTGGTATTCGTAAGGTGGTATCTTCTAGCAGAGGATCATAAATCAGATTTTACTGCAAAATCGATGACAATGACAATTCTTGCAATATTGAACTATAAAAGAAAATATTTTACGATCTTAATAGAAATTGTATAATTCTAGTTCATAGTATATTAAGTTGATTCATTGAAGGTTCTTTTACAATAGGCAAAAGAAAATACATGTCAGTAATACTGATTAATAGAAAAATTCATATTTAGTAATTTTATGTATATGTATATGATGTAAAAATGAAAAAAAAATATTTTTTTGATTTAACTTTACAACAACTGTGTCAAAATCACATGATAAAATATAATTCAAAAGATAAAAACAGAAGTTCTTATTAAAGAAAAATTTAATAAAATAATATTTCCGTTTTTCTCAATAACAAATCATTTACACCTTTAATAATGATTTTTCTAGAAAAACTTTTTTTTTGTAAATAGTACTTAGACAGCTTATCAGATAATATTATTTTGTAATATCATAAACTTAGACCAAATTATAACAACTTCTATATATTTTGATGATTTACTGATACTTTTAAATAGATTAATAACAGATCATAAATGTATTTATTAGTAATCAGAAAACCAATATGTTGCTTATTATTTACCAATTAAAAAAATGTTGTACTTTGAAAATCATCAATATCTTATAAGGTATAATTCATAAGTCTATTAGAATTCTGATTATTTAATGATAGAAATAATAAAAATCAGTTAAAAATCAAAAATCTAATTGGTTTTGATTCTTAACCAGTTCTTATTATACCAATTCTTCATCATTTGACTTGTGATTATTACCTTTTAAAACATTAGTTTAATAAGTATTTTTGAGAAACGATTTATTATAATTTTAATAAAAGCTATAAATTTTTTTTATTTTTTACAGTGACTTCTATAATCATATTCATTATCTTTATTAAGTTTTCTGTTCTTTTAAGAAGACTACTATAATTATTACCTTTTAGAACATTAGTTTAATGAGTATTTTTGAGAAATAATTTATTATAATTTTAATAAAAGCTTTTCTAGTAATTTCTAACTGATAGGATAAGTTTTTATGATATTATAATTTCAATCTATAGGTTTAGAAATTAAATAGATATAAGCTATTTTTCATTCTGATAGAATATCACTAAATTCAAAATATATTTATATAAGTTTTAATAAAGTCGTTGTGTATTATAATCTAGATATTTTATCATCTCATTATGAATTTCTAATAGACTAGCAGCTTTGTCATTAGGAAATTAAGAGATTATTAAAGACTATTCTTCTATAGTTCGTGATTGTATAATGTTATCATACTATTTCTTATTAATATAATTTTTCAGTTGATATTATTTAGTCTATCTTCCAAATAGAGAGGTAGCAGATGTATTAGAAATAGCATAGTTTTGAAAATATCTATTGACATATTATTTAATTAATTTAAGATCACTAATTAGAGAGTATTATCTATCTATAACTTTGATAATAATATAATCTAGTATAATTGTTTTCTTTGATCATTTTAGAGCTGATTGAATCATCTTTCTTGAATTTATTTTATAGTAAAGATAATATTGATCAATAAAGTATTTGATTTATTATTTGAAATATTATCTTCTTCTATTCTAAAAAATGCTTTAATATTGTGATATATTTTTAATAGTAATTTTTTAATATCTTTAACATTGAATTCTATTATAAAATCAAGAAGTAAAATAAAAAACAGTTTGGTTGATTTCAAAATGTATTTAATAGTTTTAAGTTTAACTAATCATTCATTTTTTATAAGTCATGTTTTCAATTTCATTCTAGCAGATCTAAAATTTGAAAACTATTTTATTAAGTAATTTCAAATGATTATAGAAAGTAACCAATTCTTTTGACTTAAGTGTTTTTTGATCTACAAAAATCCATTTAAAGTAAATATTTTTGATAGTAACTTTCATAATAGTATTTCTAAACTATTACATATATGATTCATATTAAAGTAAAAAGATGAAAATAAGTGCTGTTTCTTTATATTATGTTATTAAAATTGTATGTTTGTGGCTTCTACAAATAAGTTTCATTTTTGTTGAGTCATAAAGGCAAAATTGAATTTTCTCCTTTTAGTCTTATTATAACTTACATATGCTTCTTATTTTTTAATTATATTGGTGAAGTACATAGTAACTATTTTATGATCAGATTTATATATAAGTAGTTTTGATATATCACAATAAAGAAAATCAGCTATAAATTTAACAAATATAAAGATTCTATCAATTTTTTCAAGAATGGAAGCTTTAATAGAACTTTGTAATGGAAAAAAGGTAGGTAAGATAATATTATTACTGATTAATTGTAAGTCTATAAAGTTTTATGTGATAATTCTTCCATAAGGTCAAAACATCAACCTAGTTTTTTGTTAAGCCTTAATCTTTCATAATAGTTATTTATGTCTACATTAAAATCCTCTATTAAGATTATATAACATTATTATTTGTTGTATTTATTTAATATATTTAAGATTTATTTCTAAAGAAGTCTTCTATCATATTTACTTTTAGGATTTTAAGATTAGTATGAATGTAGTAACTAATTATTTTAAGTTTTATATGTTTTTTTAGAAATAAATCTACATAAAGCAATCTCAGATCTAAAATGAAGGAAGATGCAATATGTTTATTTCTATTTTTTAAAATGATAAATGCTACCCCTGTAGTGGATCAGATTAACTCTAAAATATAGTAAAATATTGATCATATTTGTGTTTATAAAGCATTGAAAATTTATGATGTATTTCTGTAAGACTAATAAATCTATATTTTTCTGTGTAAAATATTTTAATATTTGTGAGGATTTAATTGGATCTATAGATGCCTGCTAAAACCTTCTTAAAATAATTTCGTTATATCCTTTTCTATGTTTTTAATATAGTTTCGACAGTTTTAGCTTTCATCATATCAAATGGATTTTGTCATATCCCTTATTATGATTTTAATATAGTTTTGTCTAAGTTTTGACTGTTATTAAGGGGTTTCGTCCCTTATCTATAATTGGATCTGTAACATTATTAATTTTTTAAATGTTATGTGTAGCAAATATAACAGTATCACCTTTAATAATATCATTGCTTAAATCTTCATTTATGTAAGATAGATTTATGTCTATTTGATTAATTTTGCATTATCTATTATCATAAAATTGTAAAACTGAATTATTTAAAAAAAGAAGTAATATTTATATTAAAATTTGAAGTATTCTAGTTATCAGTAGAAATACTTTATCTGTAATTGTTTAATGTAGAATATATTATAAATGATGAGCCATAAATTCATTATAATTAGTAAAAGTAAGAATCTAAGAGTTTAATTTAGCCAAATAGGTTTAATTGAGTCTAATTCCTAAAGTTTAGATAATATTAAATCAAATGAATTAGAATTATTATTATAATTTATAGGATTTAATAAGATAGAAGACTTAGAAACAACATTCTTTCCTTTGTTAAAATTAGAGAAAAATGTAGAAGAAGATAATGATAAAACTATATAATTTAGAGTATGATTCATTAATTTTATATTCATAACTTTAAATAAAAAGCATTTATTTCTTTAGTAAATGTTAATTAAATTCCTAAGAGTATTGTTATCTGGTGATTGAGTTAATTCTTCTTGAATATATAGCTTATTAAGAATTCTAGATCTTCTGTTTAATTTGTATTCATTATATATAATTTGTTGTAAATAAATAATTTGCATATCTTCTTCAAATATGAAAGCAGTATAAGCAATATTGCTATAAAAATAATAAGATCTTATTTTAAATGTTCTTAAAATATGAAAAGTTTCTGCAAATGAGATTTTATTTCTGAACTTTTTAAAACTAGCTACAAATCTATTTCTATCTTTTATTTTTTTACTGGTATATCAATATAAGCACATTTAATTACATATCCATTTATATTATAAGCTTAAATTGAATTTAATTAATGGGATTTTCTAATTACTCTAAAAGAAATAATAATATCATATAATGAGTTATATCTATTTTTATATTAGTCAATAACGATAATGAATATAATCAAATTAAAATAAGTAAGAGCTTTAGTAATGTAATTTTGTGTAATATCATTAGGAACAGATTTAAGTTTGTATGTAGGATTATTGTGATATTAATTATTAATAGAAGTTTCATTAATTAAATTAAAAGAAAGTGTAAGATAATTTATCAAAATATTATTTATTACATCTAATAATAATTTTTTGTTATTAAATTCTATAAATATATTAGCATTTCCATTATGAAATTTCTAATTTATTACATTATTATAGAAATATACAAAATAACCTTCAAGTCAATATGTTTGGCTAGCCAAATTATCCACATGCCTATTCTTTTTTTAGATATATTATCCTATGGTAAATCTTTATTAAACTTAAATTGTGAAAGTAGACAGATAATTTTTTTTATTTTACAATAGTATTAGTATTCTTAATAGTTTAATATGATTTTGGAAGTTAAATCACCAGTGGCATTAATATTTGATTGAATAAATAATTTTAAAACCTAACCTTTATTCTTACTATTTATTATTATAAACGTAAAGAAATATTCTCTGTAAAAAAATTATAAAGAATATAATATATTATCTAACCATAATATATAATTACTTATCATATTACAAAATAGAAAAAAATTATTCAGATAATAAAAGCAGCATTATTTCTTCTAGATATTGATTTTAATGGAAATACCTAACATTAATTATGTATCATATCAATAATTGATTTCATAATTACAATTTTATTGTAAATAGATAGAATATTATTATTATGTTTAAAATTTCATAAGGTAATAACAAATAATATTTGTTTTGTATATCTA